CTCACATCCCAGCGCTTCACAGCAGGATTTTATCTGTCCCAAGATACATGAAAATATGCGGTTGTGTTTGTCTTTTTTACCCTACAACGGCATCCAAGATTCCTGTTGTGAAACAGATGACCATTAAGCTTCAGCAATTGTATGCTAAATAAAAATAGCTGCATTCTCCAGCAGAGTGCTGGCTGCAATGAAATATTCAGCTTCCACTAGTGAAAGGGTCATGTACTAGTGAAAGCATTGTAAACAGCACACAAACACACACAACCAAAACAAACAGCAATGAGGAAAGTGTCACACTGCATAACAAATACTAAGGAGTGCTAAGCAGTAAGGTGTTATCTTGGTGCCTAAAAAGAGCTAAGTTCGTATTCTTTAACTTTACAGAAAACTGAAATCATTCAACAAAACTTGTGATTTACTAAATGATTTTTTTGCTAGCTGTACCAGCCTGTGTTCACTGGAATCCCCCAGCCAGGTCAAGAGAACAAGAATAAAATACATAACATTAATAGGTGCTTGAAAGTTTGTCGGCAGAGTAAAAATAATTTCCTTAGTAAAGGGCCTTCTCAGCCATCAACATTTTTACTGTCTTATTTTATTTTCTAGTTTGAGACATGTTGTCATTAATAAAATGACAGCTTAGTATAAAATGAAGAAAATCTCAGTGTACACAAATACCTAACAAAATGTAGAATAAGTGAAATGCAAATACTGAGACACATTCCAAGCCATGTACTCTTAAATCCTGCAGGCTACCTGCGATGATAAAAGCTGATAATACAGAGTTGAAAGATATCAGGTCAAATTTTTAAGACTGATCTAGAAAAGGATACCAAATAACCCGGACAAGTTTTTTTTAAATTTTGCTTATCCTGGTTGGTCTTTCAATTACACAATGGTTTAAAAAGGCTGGTGAAAATGTAGATTTCTAATAAACATAGTTGTTTGTGATTTTTCTACACAGTTCCAAACAGCTTTTGCCTTTTACAATGTGTTTTAGAAATATTTATTGACTAAATATGAAAATATGTAATGATTTAAAATATGTATCTGCATTTCACATTCTTTTAGACAATTAGCACAAGTCTGTAAGACTCATAAACAATTAAATGTTAGTCAAGGACATTTTCATTATATGCTGACTGGGTTTCATACATTCAGACACTGATTTATTGTACCTGTATTGCTCTCTAGGTAATCGTTACAGTTTTAAAGAGTGGTTGGTGAGATCTAAGCGAAACAACAGAACGCAGGTCACCTTAGTGTTAACAACACAGGAATACAAGGGTTAAACATGGGGACCTGAAAACTGCCAGAACCACCTCATTCATATAGGGCTACTGTGGAAACCATGCAACTTTCTCACCTGTACAAAAAGCAGAGTAACCTTCAAAGTGTATCTTTAAGACACACATGGTACGACTTCATGGCTACTTTGTGGCAAATTTTGTTTGAGTTTATAAAATAAAGATATCAAGAATACCACAGTCCAGGGCCAGTAAATTAAGCCAAAGCTCCAGGAGGAGGTTTGAGGGAAGTTAAATTATTTTCCCAGAACAATAATTAAAATGGAAATAAGCAAGGCAGAGAGGCCTGCTATTTACATGGTGATGCCAGCATGTATTTTTCTACCTAAAGTTTTAGTACAAAACCAAACTTAAGAAATGCTACAATAAGGATACGCTGGGACGTAATCATGTCACTTTAATTCATATTTTTGAAAAACAATCATCTCCAAAGGGGACATGCTTAATGAGATTTATAATACCATGGAATTGAAAGAAATCATACATAACAGCAGTTGAGAGCTTTTTTTTTCTTTATAGACACACTGAGCATAATTGAGCTAGCTTGACAAAAAGACTCTGCAGGGGTTAAGGTCAAATATTTTAAAGATAGATGAAACAGGATGCTCATGTATTGTAAAGACATGAACAGCTTTGTCCAGAGACAATCTAGATTACTTGTTTCCTGATAGCAGAAATTATTTCACGCTATACAGTTTTCTAAAGTTTCTTTGCATTTGTAGAATAGACCCAAGAAGTTTAATGGTCTTACATTGCACATGAAACTGACGTCAATGCCTATATATACTTCATCAGACATATTTAACCTATTCATCTCTGCATAACAGAACTGAAAGGGAATCCGTTACAAGCACAAGCACACTAGGGCTGCAACAGTTCATCAATTAGATAAAGCAACACGTTTTTGTTCAGTCTGCCAGTGTATACATTATTCAATACAATGTGCTATTATTGAGTACAATGCAATATAGGATTCACTCTGGGTGCAGCCATGTTGAATAATAATTATCTGCAGTATTCAGGCTCAAGGATTGTGTTCTGAGCTTTGGATCTATTGCAGCTTCAGTAAAGATTTCTGCAAAAGGGGCAGATTTTTAAATAAAGGGTTTCAAACCCCTATTTTTCATTGCTTACTATTTGGCAATAGTAGCATGAATTTAAAAAGAAAAAGTAATAGTGGCAAAGTCTATTTTACAAATCTGCGATCAAGCCTCACCGGACAAAATTAAATTTACAACAAATAGCGCATTATAATTAAAAAATACCTGAAACATCAAAAAAGTCTAGGATAAAGAAAATGTTCTATAAAATCACTGTTTACTTCAAACATTTCCCACTCAGAAATATAATAAACTGAGCACTCTGGTGATGGTATACATATAAATGGTATAGCTATTTTTTGTTCAAACAGCTATCTTCAATTGAAATCAAATGTGAACACAAATTGGCCTCCAAAAATGGCCAACTAAAAATAATTATCATACATAAATGGTGAGGAGTTTAACACTCTAATGTTATAACAACCTGTGGCCACAGTTTTACAAGTATATTTGGCATGGGATCATGTTAGAAGACAAATTACTGCAGTTAATGTGGAGCTCTCAGACACTATGCAATCATTAGGGCCAGAATATTAAGTCATGTATACACTGGGATATACAGTTCAATTAACAGTTTAAGTCAAACCGTACAGTCAAGATTTTGTTGAAAATGTGGCATGAAAATAAATAGCCCTATTAACAATTTTGTTTGTTGAATGGGCTGCATGACATCACTTGGCCCAGTTTTATGAAGAAATACAAAAAACAAATAGCACTAAAATATCACATCTGCTCTTGGAACTGGATTCCTATTAATACATTATTTTCAGTTATGAAACAATACATTTAATGCAGATATTGTTATGTGTCTGCGCTTAATCAAACAGTGTCATTGTTGTTATTAGGTGAATAGGAGTTGAGCGAATAACTATTACATTCAAAGTAGAGATTAACCACGTTGTCACTTGAGGGGTTAAGTCACAACAGTCAGATGGTGGACGTGGTTGCGGGTGTAAATAGGCTCTTTTTGTTTCTATGGAATCTTTAGCTGGGAGGAAAAAAAAAGTTTTGGGTGTGTGCAAGTTAATCTCATACTTTCAGCTGTCTATAGCTTCAGACCTGTCCTTCAGTCGAGCCTGTGCCTATTACTGTAGGTCCAACATGAGAATCAAGTTATTTGCAGTAATCCTATTCTATTTAAAGTGAAGTGTAATGTTTGCTTGGGAGTTTCACAGGTGAGTTCAAGTAATTAGCGGTTAACAATTACTGCTGATCAAGTGTCTCCCATGTATGGGGTGATATTGAATAATCTCTGGCACAATAAGAGTGTTCATTATGTGATGAGTATTGCTTATTCACCAGTTGGCAGATCTTAGTCTTCGTGGAGAAGAATAAAAGGTCTTGAAGAACCTCTTGAGAGAGTCCTTTTATCCTGCTCCTAAGAGCAGCTTTCTCAGACCTCAACAGGACCAGGCCAGACTGCCTTAACCTCTCCACTCCTGGAACAAACAACAGCAGGGCATCTCAACAGTAACCATCATCCCCTGTCTGAAAATAAGGGTCTAAGATACTAAATAAAGTACATTCTGCTCTAGCCATAGACTTATTTCTCTTTCTGGCAGCCAGTAATATTTAGAAGAAAATTGCGCTTTTTTAAAATATTTTGCTTTAACCTGATTGGATGTTTGAAGTGAAGAGAGGTTCACTGAGCAAGAGTGAAGCTTTCATCCAACACTAAATGATCCCATATATGTTACAGCTGATATGTGGAGTGACAGCAATTATAGGGAATGTGGCTACATAGGTTTTATGGTGTGCACTGGGAGCCATTGCTGGCTTGCTGGGGTTTTGCTTAATTTTTCAAGTGCCAAAACTTGTAAGAATGGGTTAAACCCAAGAAATGTTTTCGTACAATTTGTTATTCTTATTTAGAGCCTGAATGCACACATTACATAAATAGTTGTATTACCATAACAATACAATAATAATATTTTAGATGAATAACAAGAACATGTAAAAAAAAGTATCACAACTAAAATACCTTAGTTTAGCAATTTTATATAATAAAAATATTTAGGATATTTTAGAATAATAGTAATATTTATGGTCATGATGCACAGCTGCAATAATAGTTCTTTTAAATGTTATTACCAGATTTTAGGCAAGCTCTGAAAATGTATCTGTAAAAAAAATGTTTACACCTCTTTTAATATGCAGCACTGGGACCTGTGTTTCTACATCTGTATTTCAAGAGATACTTCCTGAATAGTTCAAAAGCTACAATGATTGAATAACCCTTTTTTTTTACATTTGAAATAGTTTTACATTCATCAGTTTAATTTGATATATTTCTTTCAAAAATATTGTAATAATTCTGCCCATGTTTTAAATGTAAAAAGAAAATGAATTTGATTTTAAAATTTAATCTAAGCTTATCAGGTGCTGCTGACCTGCCAGAAAAATAGGAAATTGGTTCTATCTTTTTGGATGTTGTGGCCAATAGAAAATTACATAATTTATCAAGTAATCTGCCTCTTGTGCCAGGCTCCAACATTCATCATAGTCCATCTCCCACGCACTCTACAGCTGCTGATTCCACTACTGTGTGGGCTCATAGAGCTGCTCCAAAAATAGAGGAATAAAAATGACCTACCTGATCATTGAGCTGATGAGCCACCAAATTATGCTGATGGTAATAGCCAGCAAATCGGATAAATTTCAGCCAGTTGCCCACATCTGGTTGCCTAGCATCGATGCAGAATTTCACATTACCATGCTCGTCCAAGATCTAAAGAGGGGAAGACATTTGTATTCTGGTTACACCGTGTCTAAAGTGCAGAGGATAAAATAATATAATACCTTTTAATTGGGATCTGTTCAGTGGGGTGGAAGGGATCGGGTCCTAGAGTTTAGTGTATGCCCAGATTTCATGGAATTACAAACCCAGGGCTGCTACAGGGCCACATATTGCTGGCGCGGAGTTTATTACTATGTATAGGAATTTGCAAACAAGAGCCGGGGCTGCTAGTAATTGATACATTGCTACACTGAGCATAGCTTGGCTGCTTTGTAACACACTATAAACTGCTGTCAATAACCAGATCCACTTCACACTTTTTGTTGCAGGCACACTCAGCTCACTTGTGACTCCAGGCTCCTTCCAGCAAGGCTGGGGTTAGTAATTATTTCAGCCCCAATTTGCAAGAATTCACATTAGATCCCCCAGATTTCCTCCCAGGTCGTTTTATTGCACTTAACAATAAAGCCAAATGTCTCTTAGAGGTTTGGAAAATCTCATGAATATCCACATTGTAAATGACAGTGTTATTATCCCGTCTTGTAAGGACTTACTCTCCCATCACTTTAATTTATGGCTTAACTCGATGTGTCATCACAACTGCATTACAGGGAGGTTAGTGTGAGCTTTGTAAATTAGGAGGGTTCCTGTGATTTCATCGGGAACGGTGTGGAGAGCTGGAGGATAAACAAACAATCTATTGCTGGCTATTGTATTGCTATTTATTGTGTTCGTACCGATCAGCCCTGCAGCCCCGAACACAGGGCGATCAGCCCTGCAGCTCATTAACTACATAACCAGTTCAATGGGGACGAGGCTGCAGCCTTTGGGTTCAGGGCACTGGGCGAACAAGCCAATAACCCTCTCAACTCGCAGCAATTAAAGAGCACAGTGCAGCCCACAAAAGCCTCCCCAATAAAGCATTCTTTACCCGCACAAAGCCAGCTCTCCAGCATCAATCTATTTTAGGGGTTAAAGGGGCCACAATTAATGCTGCAAATAATTTTCAGGCGGTGACATTTGCACGCTTGAAAGGGAGTTACTAATATTCCCGCAATGAAAAGAGAGCAGCATCCAGGCTCAGCAAATGTCCTAATTGTCACTCCTTGTCCCTTCTGTGCTCTCTGATCCGGGACAATGTGCGGGGGGGCTCGAGAATGACCTGATCGTATACATTTATATTGTGTAGGCTCCAGGAACCACTTTCCCTCAATCGGAACTTTGACAAAGATCCGCTCCTGCACTCCTGGCACTTTTTACAAATGATATATAGATAGATATATCTATGTATCTATCTATATATCTATCTATATATATAATTTAATGAAAGGCAAATGCAAGTAATAGTATACCTGAACACAGAATTATTACCTAATAGGTGATGCGCTGCGACCAACTGATTATTACTGCCCATAACAAAATACGGGGACAATATATTATTTTTTATTTCACTGTCTCCTCTTTTCGTTCTGCTTGTTTATATTCACTTCATACTACACATCATATAGATTTATGCAAAATGTTAGTGTTAAATAGATAGAAATAAATAAAAAGTGAAAGTATAATGATTAAACAAGCACAGTGTGTGCAATGAAGTGCACAAGCATAATGGAGTGCTTACGAACTAGAAGCGAATGTGCCTGATGTATGGCATATAACAGAGTGCGAAAAGGAATAAACCTCAAGTTGTATTTATTTAGGATAAAAGATGAAAAATCGAAATTCTAAAACTGCAAATACAGAAAAAGATAATTATTTTAGGGAAGTGGCAAAGCAGCAGCGTGGACACACTCCGGAGATGTAGGGTGTATCAATCATATCTATTGATCTATCTATCTTTTATCTATTTCTCTATCTATCTATCTATCTATCTTTTATCTAAATATCTATCTATTATCTATCTATCTATCTATCTATCTATCTATCTATCTATCTATCTATCTATCTGTCTATCTATCTGCCATCTACTATCTATCTATCTATCTATCTATCTATCTATCTATCTATCTATCTATCTATTTAGTATCTATCTATCTATCTATCTATCTATCTATCTATCTATCTGTTATCTATCTATACACACAGATTAGTACACTAGCGTTGTATAATTTGTAATATTTAATTTATCAATATATTCTTGTGTAGTCGGCGATGCACAGTGTGTACAGAGGGGAGCAGTGATTGAGCTGGAGAGATGGCAGAGTTGAAGCTAGTGTCCCCAGTTAGTAAATTGTGGTAATCTGATTGCACATGCAGTGCTACATATGTGACATGGAGTGATGAATCTGCCTCTCTCTCCCGGGGACTATCACATTATCAGCGGGAGGATTACCCTGGCTGAGCTGACAAAGTGCTTGGACAGGTATAGTCTGTGTCTGGAGAAAGTGTCCCGCAGACAACTTTTGTTTACCAAGTGTCATCAGGTAGAGGCAGAGAACACTATACACACTGCCTGCATGTCACACACACAACAAACACAAGTGTGGAAGAATGCCATAGGCACACAAAGTTCAACGGGGAGTATTGATGAGACCAGGCACACACAGGGTAAAATCTATAAGATTGATGAGTACAGGGACACAAGGTACATGGCATGGGGTATGTGAGTCCAGCCACACACAGGGTAAAATGGATATGATAGATGAGTCCAGCCACACGCAGGGTACATGGTGTAGGGTATGTGTCCAGGCATCTACAGTGTATATCGTGTATTGTAGATGTGTCCAGGCATATACAATGTACATTGTGTAGGGTAAATGTGTCAAGACATACACAGGGTATGGTGTAGGATAGACGTGTCCAGGCATATACAAGGTACATGGTGTAAGGTAAATGTGTCCAGGCATATAAAAGGTACATGGTGTAGAGTAAATGTGTCCAGGCATTCACAGGGTACATGGTGTAGGGCTGTTTAAGTCCAGGCACACACACAGAGTACACAGTGGACGGTGGACTAAGTACAGGCACACACACAGGGTACATGGCACAGGGTAGATTAGTCAATGCACACATAGGGTGCACGATGCAGGGTAGATGAATCAAGGCAAACACCTAGACTGGATGAATTCAGGCACAAATAGGGCACACTCTCTTGGGTAGATGAGGCTAGGCACACACATACATAAGTGGGGGCACACATAAGGTACACAGTGTAGTATATGTGAGTCCATGCACACACACAGGATACATCGTATAGGATAGATGAATCCATGCACACACTGAGTACAAGGTGTAGTATAGATCATTTCACACACACGTGATACATATTGTAGTATAGAAGAGTCCATGCACACCGGGTGACATGTATAGGATAGATCAGTTCATGCACAGACTCATGGGTACAAGGAGTAGGGTGGGATAGGTCCAGGCACACATAAGTTACACACTATATTATGGATGAGTCCATGCACACACGTGCAGAATAAAATGTATAGGACAAATTAATCCACGCACACACTGGGTACACGGTGTAGTATAGATAAGTCCAGGCACAAACAAGGTACACGGTGTAGGGTGGCATAGGTCCAGGAACACATAAGGTGGTGTAGGGTGGCATAGATCCTGGCATACCCAAGGTACATGGTGTAGGGTGGGATGGGTTCAGGCACACGTAAGGTACACGGTGTAGGGTGGGATAGGTTTTGGCATACACAAGGTACATGGTGTAGGATGGGATAGGTCCAGGAATACATAAGGTGGTGTAGGGTGGCATAGGTCCTGGCATACACAAGGTACATGGTGTAGGGTGGGATGGGTACAGGCACACGTAAGGTACATGGTGTAGGGTGGGATAGGTTTTGGCATACACAAGGTACACGGTGTAGGGTGGGATAGGTCCAGGCACACATAAGGTGGTGTAGGGTGGGATAGGTCCAGGCACACATAAGGTACACGGTGTATTATAGATGAGTCCATGCACATATGGAATAATTGATACTTGGGGTAGGGTGAGTCTTAGTACACACATCATCAGGGTAGCTGGAGGGTGGCTGCTGTAACAGCTCCTGCTGCAATTTAACAAGCTGACTCCAACTCTAACCACAAGCCCGCAGGACAGCCAAGAGCCAAGCTTACAAATTACAGCCAGGGCAAGTCGCAGTGTGAACACAGGAGCCCCCAGTGCTAGCTTACCTGCGAGGCAGCACGGTCATAGTAGGTGAATGCCACCAGCCCTGACTTGTCTCAGCCACAGATATCCTTCCAGACTCCGCACATCCACAGCTAGTGTCCCCGGCAGCTCACACTGACAGCGATCTGCACTGCTGTGCATCTAAAGAAACTGAAAGTGTCAGCAAAGTGATCCAGGACTCGTGTCCCTCCGTGGACACCTCCCTTTTCTCTCACTTTCTTTGCTCTTATCAAGCAGCCTTGTGACACCAGAGATCTGCAGATCGTCCTTGTAGTATGGTGTGTGGGATCCCTGAGAGGGGTGGCAGGCAGCCCTGCTCAGATTTCTTCTTCTTCTTCTTCTTCTTCTTCTTCTCCTTCTTGGACTTGGCAGTAAAATATCCCAATGCTGGCTGTCAAGGTTTGAGTCTCCCTTGCCTGTGTGTGGATGATGTGCCCAGTGAAAGGGTCCCAGGATGGGGCAGCTTTGCTTTGTCAGAGTCAGATCCTCCCGGGACCATCCCCTTTCCAAGTCTTCAGTCTAAAGTGGGAACTTCTTGAAGCCACCAAGTGTCTCTTTAAAGAGGATCAGAGCGGCCATCCAGAAAAGAGGAGGAGAGGGACTCCAGCTATCTCACAGCACAGACACTGGCTCCTCTCTCAGGACATTTTAAAGTGACAGCAGCCTTCCCTGCAAGAAGAGGTCACTAAAAGGTCGCTAAAGAGTCCTATAGGACAGGCTGATTACAGATGCACCATCCCCTTAAACATGTCGATCCCATCCATGTAATCAGCGACCAATGGGGAGATGTGGGGTGGGTGGATTTCATTCTTGCAGGGAAATCTCATCTCTTTAGCCTTTGAAGAAGTTCTCTGCTAGTGTTCAGGCTAATAGCCCCTTCCATTCAGTGCTGCTATGCCCTCCACAAGTCAGTGGAACTTGCCTGAAATAAGCAGCTTTGCTACAATCCAAACTTTCATTGCAACTGTTTATACACTAACACAATCCAAACGTCTCAAAGCTATGATACATCATAATTATCAATAATATCTGCAAACCCTCATTTAATCTCTCCTCTAATTAAAACGATGTGTATTCATTGTGCAACTCATGCATCATTTTATGTTTTCACATTTTGCAGTGTACTCTTATCAGGGGGAATACTTTCATCACCGCTTATTAATAAAAACATGCAGCCGGAAAGGTGTCACTAGTAATGTTATTGTTGTGTCATTGTGAATGCTAAAGTTATATTGGTGGCAATTGTAATAGGTAATAAAAAGTTGCCTTTGTGTCATAGTAAGTGCTAAAACATTCGAGTCACTGGTATTACTCAAGTGTATTTGTGTCAGGGTTCATTCTAAAATATCTGTGCCACTGTTGCTATTAAATATAGATTGGTGTGATTGTATCTGCTACAATTATATTTATGTGACTGTTACTACAAAGTTACATTGTCACTGTTTCTGCTACAAGTACATTTGCGTGACTGTTACGACAAAGTTACATTGTTACTGTTTCTGCTACAAGTACATTTGTGTGATTGTTACTACTAACTTACATTGGTGTCACTGTTTATGCTACAATGATATATGTGTGACTGTTACTACAAAGTTACATTGTTACTGCTTATGCTACAAGTACATTTGTGTGATTGTTACTACTAACATACATTGGTGTCACTGTTTATGCTACAATTATATTTGTGTGACTGTTACTACAAAGTTACATTGTTACTGCTTATGCTACAATTATATCTGTGCCACTGTTGCTATTAAATTTAGATTGGTGTGACTGTTTCTGCTACAAGAATATTTTTGTGACTGTCACTACTAACTTACATATGTGCCACTGTTTATACTTCAGTTGTATTTGTGTGACTGTTACTACTAACTTACATTGTTACTGTTTATTCTACAATTATATTTATGTGACTGTTACTACTAACTTACATTTGTGCTATTGTTTATACTTCAATTGTATTTGTGTGACAGCTTCTACAAAGTTACATGTGTGTCAATGTTAATACCTAAGGTTACATATTTGTCACTCTTAATACTGGAATGATATGTGTGTCACTGTTTATACTTAAGTTCCATTTCTTCCACTGTTAATGCTAATGTTACATTGTGTGAATTTCGTTGTGTCGGGGTGAAATTGCCATCAATCACAAAACATGAGAATTTTTTTTTTATATATAAAAGTGATTCGGCTTTCCTGCCTCCCTATGATAGGAGGACCATTACACGGAAGATCAGCTCATTCTAACATTGTGTGAGTTTGATCTCAGCGTGCTATTATTCTTGGCGATCGCTTGGTGCATATCACTTTAGTATCAACTCTAAATCTATATACAAAATAAATACATAATTTTTTACATTTTTTTTTACTAAAAAGTGCAAGTCGTCTTCTAAAGTCCTATTTATTTAAGAGGAGGGGCAGCCTTTTTTGACAAGAGATTAAGATTAATTTGTCTCAGCAGACTGTTATCTGTGACATTGAACTCCTGCTCTAGATAATGGCCATTGTTTCTGTAAAATCACACAGCAGTGCTAGGTAGGACAGGAAAAATCCTTTGTAAATAACCTTAAAACTGCCAAGAGATTCCCATACACTTGAGTGCTTGAGAACCTTAAAGAGGTCCCGGTTTTGCTGGCCATTGGTTTCCTGCCCTCCCTTAACTTGTCCATTGTTGGAGAGTTTTTTTTTTTTATTTAGCCATAAATTGGTCCAGCTCTAGCTATGAGCTGTTCTATTTTCTTCCTGTCAGGATGAGGGATTTGTTTTATGATGCATTGTGTATTAAATACAAGTAATCTGGGAAACTGATTGCTCTGAGTCGGTAGGTCTGATCAGGGATTCCGATAGGGTCCCCCTCTCCCCCTTGCTGTCAGCCTGGCCTCTGAAAAGAAGGAAATCTTGCTGGCTAAACAAACGGACTCTCGGTATCAGTAACAGGCCCCGGATAATCTGGGATCCTATGAAAGTGGATTTTTTTTCTCTCACTTTATTATTGTGGAAGGATATAGGAGAAGATTGGGCTAGCCTGCTAGCGATTTGCTGGTTGCAGTTCACCAGTCTGCCGTGGAGTGGCGCTGCTCCCCGGAATAAAGATCGCTCAGGTTGGGTTTCGGTGGCACTCATATCGAATATTCGTAAACTCTCACCCAACACCCAATAACACTTCTAGTAAACTGACCTACTCTAACTCTTTCCACGCTGGAATCACACTTTTCAACTGTCCCCTGCCGTGATTATGTAATGGTTTACACCTTTTCTGTTGTTATATGCAGCATGGAAACTTGTCTGCTAAGAGCTCGTAAAGTAGCCATGAACGAGTTAACTGTATAGGGGGCAGCTTTTGACCAAGCAGATTCTGTAGAACTATAAGTCTCAGCACGCCATGCCAGCTAAAAGCTCATCAGGCACCAAGGGACGTGTAGTTTGACAGCAGTTAACAGTATTCCATCTATCAGTAGAGAGTTAATTGATGTTTTCAATGTATAGGGACCAGTTTTGGCCAGGCATATCCTATAGAACTATAAGTCGCAGCATGTGATGGCAGCACACCAGGCACCAGGGGACCTGTAGTGCTACACAGCTGATAATCCTAATATTCATTTACATTGTGTCATCTATCAGTTATCAATAGAGTTAACTGATCTTTTAATTGTATAGGGACCAGTTTTAGATCAGGAATTTCCTATAGAACTATAAGTGGCAGCATGCCATGCCAGCACACCAGGCACCAAGGGACTTGTAGTTTTGCAGCAGCTGATTATCTTAAACCTACCTACACTATAGGTTATCAATAGAGAGTTCATTAATTTTTTTCAATGTATATGGGGCGGTTTTAAACCAGTTTCCATAAGACTATAACTCACAGCATGCCATGCCAACACACCAGGCACCATAGTAGTTGTGATTTTGCAGCAGTGGATGATCCTAAAGTAACATCTATCTATCTATCTATCTATCTATCTATCTATCTATCTATCTATCCGTTATCAATAGAGAGTTCATTGATTTTGTTCAATGTATATGGGACAGTTTTACACCATGCAGATTCTACAGAACTATAAGTCACAGCATGATATGCCAACACACCAGGCACCATAGAAATGTAATTTTGCAACAGTCGATGATCCTAAAGTTATCTATCTATCTATCTATCTATCTATCTATCTATCTATCTATCTATCTATCTATCTATCTATCTATCTATTATCAATAGAGAGTTCATTGATTTTCTCCGGACTCTATCTATAAATTAACTTTTCACAGGAGTGATTAAGTCAAAGCAATATGTGTCATTTCCCAAGCTGTTCTGCTAGAGTGGTTAGTGCAGAGATGCCCTCAGTGAACCGATAGGGATCCTTCTGCCCCAATGCCCCGAGGAGAAGAGGAAAAGGAAGGAGCTTTTAGGAAGCCTGGAGCCAGTTAATGAGCCCCAGCTCCGGTGTTAAATTCAGTTCATCCTATGGGAGTATTAGGGCTCTGTGTCCATCACATCAAGAGACACACACATGCCTGCTCCCCCTCCATCTACCACTCATAGATCTCACACATCGGCTGCCTGAGCCTCAGTCTCTGTCTTGTACTATTATATAGTGACTAATAACACACATCACACACAGCTGATGCATACTTTCTAACTGCCTCTTATTTCCAGGGACTATCCCAATGTTAGGGATTTTTCCTGGAATCATCATGAGTTTTCTTTATTTCCTAGGCATAGCATACCGATTTATGTTTTATAATCTATTGATAATACCCAGAGCTTTTAGACTTATTATATATTGATTAACAATGTGGCAAATAGAAACAGTATAGTCGAAGTCCACTCTAATAAATGTAGTATGTGTAGAGTATAGAGATAGTGGCTCTTGTAGGACTGTGCTACCCCTAGCTCAGCATTAATATCCCTGGTATTTATTCTGTTGCAGTGTGACTGGGACGATTGACCAGCAAACCGAGATGGTGACAAAGTGACATTTTTCTTGCATGCAAAGCTTTTTTTTTTTTTTTTGTGCTGCATTATGCAACTACTACATTAGATCTTCTTAGCTTTATTAGTATTTAACATCAAACGATTAAGAGTAATTGTTTGATAATCATTTGCTCCG